ATGGTATCCTATATGCGTTCGTAAGCTTGCTAAAATACTACTGCGTTGATGTCCGCTTGTAAAAGCTGAAATTCAACAAATGCTTTGATCCATGCTACATCTAGACTATCTCCGTGTTGGAAAAGCCCTTTCATCTCCGTTCATAACATCTTACCCTATTCTACGCAAATCTGTCACATCTACTCTCAAACAAGACGCCAACTTCAAACGAAAACGCGTTCTACGATGCGTCTACACTCCATCCCCATATCATTGGCGTTGACTGGTCCGAGGTCGATCTTGTTCGCCTGTTTTCGGCGTCTTGCAGAATAGTCTACTGCTGTAAACCTTTATTTAGCCTTGGGTGGATGTGCGCGAGTGCGCCGGTCGCGCTGCTCTTCTGTGTAAAACGAAAATTTTTGTTCCTCCGCCATTTTTTTTTTTTCCCTCGTGCAGCACTGGTGAGAGCAGCTCCACCAGGCACATGCCGGAAATGGATTCTTCTGCCGGAAATGGACCTAGAACCTAGAACCGGTTATTTTTTTTCATACCGACGGAAACTCGACGAGATACGGAGTTAGACACTCTTGCGAGGAAGGCGCCACAGGACACCGGGGACCAGAGCCACCACTGATGGGAAAGGGTGCGTCCCCTAGTGGTTCTCCTCCTCTCTGCGTGGCCACTTCACGCTGCGGTCGAGCGGTCACTGCCACAAAACAAGCTATTACTGCTCTGTTCTTTCAGCAGTACTAGCACTGCTTTTGAACATGGACAAAGGCGTAGGAGAAGCGAAGGGGCCACCGGAAGCCAGGGCGCGCTCCCAGGATCGCAAGAGAAGGTGGGCGGACTCAACCAACACGGTGGGGTTGACATCGGTTGCGCTGGATTTTACGCGATTTTGTCGGCCGTCTCTGCTGCGAGCGAGGCAGCCACCACCATTTTCATCGCCCATGAGGCTTGCCTAGCGCTCAGCGTGCGCACCCGCTTCTGGCGGCTCTGGCGGTTGCTTGCAATGGCGTCGTTCTTTCCGGCTTCGTCAGGTTCGTGAAAGCTTGTGTGAGCACGAGAGTCTCGTCTCAGTTAACAGCAGCAGTCGTGCACTCTCGGGAACTACCTTACATGACACAAGGTAACACACCCCCTGGAGCGATTTTCAAATCTCGATTTCTCAACAACAGGAAGAGTCACGGCGCCGAAAACGGCGGCGTTGGAACCGTCTCGTCGAGAGCTTTCCAAAAATGTATTATTTCGTTCATGCATCCTCTTCGTCGTGGAGTAATCGAGCTTTGAAAATCGGTCCAGGGGGTGTGTTGTCTTGTGCCATGTGCGGTATTACTCTGTGCTACGGCCGTCTTCACGTACCCTCGCCATGTGTTGGAAAATGCGAGAGTTGAAGTATGTTCGACTTCAGCTGCCGCGTGGGCTCCTAGAAGGCCACACAAGCCACAGGTCGTTACAACCATTCTGCCACCGAAGGGCGCGGGCACACACCGTAAGTAGACTCAATAGAAAACGGACTAAGGATGCCTCCTATCTGAGAAGTAAACGTATTCAAAGACTGAACGTGATGCCGGGCACTGCTGCTGAACATTCCATGCGCGTGCATGCCGAGATCGGATTGGGACGCTTTCATCTCTACCCCCCTGTTCCTTCCTCGTCATCTGTTGTTTGTGAAACCCGTTGCATGGACCAACCTATACGTACGTTCACGCGGAACTATACCTTGGTAACGGTTCAGCCCTGCCTTCTTAAAGAGCCAGTCTGGTGCTGGCTACATTTTTTTTTTTTCTCTCATCGCTTAACTCTGCCGTCTGCCCCACTGGCCCCAATCCTCCACTTCTACCAGCTAGACGACCCAACCGGCGTCACATAGGAGGGGGGGGTTGGACCCCCTCCTGCGATTCCTACATGCATCTCTGTTGTTGTTGCTGTTGTTGTTGTTGTTGTTGTTGTTGTTATTGTTGTTGCAACTGTTCGGGTCGCAGCTCAGTGCCTTCTGGTGTTTGTACTGGTCCAGCTGACGCGGACGCCTTCCTTCCATGGTCAAAACTAACAAGCTAACCACCCCTTGCACTTTCTAGAAATCACACTTTTACACTTTCTAGAAATCAAAAGAAAAAAAATTGACCCAACAACAGCGGTCCTCCTATAGACGCGATTTTGGTACCCAAACGAAAAAGAACCCCGCTTTGAAAAAGAACCTCGCTTTGTCCATTCCCCCACAATAAAAGTGCAGTCGACCCCGCCTTGAGGACGCTCGCGTTAGGAAGATCCCCGCTTTCAGGAAAATATTTTTGCTGAGCACCAGGGGGCCCGCTAGAATATACGATAATGAGGCACCCACATTTTTCTGTCGCGTACCCCCCATTTTGTGTCCTGCGGGCCGCTCTTTGCAAGCACCACGCACCTATTATATAGAGTAAGTGCAGAAGTAGGGACGCACAGGCAGCAGAATCAGCGAGTGGTCTGCTGCTGCAGCTGTAACTGGGTGTTGGTATTATGGATAGATTCCTCCTATCTACCGGCGGTCCATCTGATGCCGCCAAAAAAAAAAGTCGTGCACAACCTCGTCCCTCACCGAGGGTGAAGTTATCTCTGGCTTGGAGGACGTTCGATCCGATCCATTTATGTACGCGAAGGGAAGGTGTGGCGAGTACCGTGAGACGCAGTACCTTGTTGCGAAGACCGTTCATTCGTTCACTCATGAAACTCAACAGAGCCGTAGAGCCAAGCCGCGGGGGGAGGTTCAGGGATCTCTTCGCGATATATGGAGGGAAAA